GTAATTCACGCTCTGATTGATGGCGGGCCGCTTCCAACATGTGGCTCTCGCATGAGCGCCGCGCAAACTCGTTCCAAACATTTGCCGGAATTTCGCGGATTGAGGGCGGGTGGTGTTCAACATGTGGCTCTCACCTGGGCACCGCGCACACTCGTTATAAAAAGCTGCAACAGTTTGGACGGATTGGGGACGGTTCCCTCTGAACATGTGGATCTCGCCTTCGCACCGCGCACACTCGTCGCAACAAGTTGTAGTAAGGGTTTCACGGAGTCCCATGGTTTACATACCAGGAATGGCGTCTTGGAATGATTCAGGACTGTCAGGGCGCAACAGATACATTGCTTCGCAGTGCTGACATCCCAAGAATGGCGTTCTGGCACGATGGATCGTGAAGCCGGTACAATCAAGTGGATTTGTGGCACTGGAGTCCCGGTAATGGCGCTTTGGCGCACGATCTTCAAACGGTTGTCTCCCAACGGAGCACTTCCCTCAGCGGATATGGACCCTTGTAGGGGCCTGTGAAAGGGGGAGCTTGAAGGGAGGTTATGTTTTGTCCAACATCGTTGGTGAGTCTTGGGTTCGCACTGGTCCTCCTCCTCCTCCTCCTCCTCATTCTCCCCCTCCCCCTCCTCCTCCTCCTCCTCCTCTTCCTCCTCCTCCTCCTCACCACCATCATCATCATCATTATCACGATCATCCTCTTAGTCCTCCCCCCTCCTTCAGCAGACCAGGACGAGGTTGCGGGTCTTGGGTGCGCACCACAAAATCGCGGCGGCCGAGGGCCATCAACAAAAATATGGCATCGGGACGAGTGTTCCCCTGCGGGGATGCGGCCGAGGATAAGGAACGGACCCCCGACATAAACCAATGTTTTTTCCGCTGGGGCTGGGGTTGTATCTCGAATCGTTCCCTGAAAGCACATGGGCTCAGCGGGGGGCCCCCGTAGGCCAAAAATGTCAGAAAACCTCCCGTCGTTTTTTGTTCACGGAGCGAACACGCCTGGGCCTGCAGTTCCCGAGCGGGCAGGGGACGAACGCGGGGCACCAGGCGCATCTACAGAGGGGGACGAAGGGCGCCGCTGCGCCGCAAGGGGCCCCTGCGCCTGCAGGGCCCGCCTGTTCTGTGGAAGAAGATCCCTGCTCCCCTCGCGTTCGGTTCCTTTTCGCGTTGGTGCTCCAAGTCGTCCCCAGTGCACCCCACCGTTTGCTGACCGGCGTTTGCCTGTCTTGGACCACTTGGCGCCCGCGCGTTTTAAAAGCGGGAGGGGGAGCGGGCCGCGGGGGGGGGCCCGGACATGCTTGCGTCGCACAACAATCTGGACGGCGGTGCTGTTCGTGGATGCGATAGCCCGTCGAGGTTCGAGGATTCCTCGTCGTTTTGGCCAGAACGCTCCGGGAACAGGTCAAGGATGGACTTTGGACCCCAGGCCCTGACATGCTCGCGTCGCGAAAATTACAGAATGACGTACCGAGCAATTTCTAAACATGTGGCCAAAATACTTAGGACGGGTCACTACAAACAGACATATTGGAAAAAAGCGCTTACGAGCGATCATGGATATACAGAAAACACATGCAGGAATGGCAATATAGGGAAGAAGACAAACATACAGAGCAGGGCGACGGGGGACATACCCTCGTCAACTCCTATTGACCGACGATGAATTACGGGCGGAGCACGATTCAATCTGTTCTCATCCAAACTCGATCTAGCCAAAACTCGGAACGACCGGCACTCAACCGAAATACCCGCTGGTTTCAGCAACCGCTCTAAACAACGGGCTGGCCCCAGGAAAACCGAACACCCCTTCCTCGGCCTTCGGCGCCGCAATTGGGCGGAGGCGGAGGGCGAACGCCTATAGGACCAGTGCAAAACTTTTCACGACGAGTGCGCTGGCAAACGGCCAGGCGTTGCCAAAGCCCGAAATGTCCCACGATCCCGTCGGCCTTCATCGTGAAATTGGTTAATTTCAATAGCCGCTCCATTGTCTCCTGGTCGAGAGCCTTCGTGAACAGGTCTGCTGGATTTCAGTGGCCCTCGACCGTCTCTAGCAACAGCTTCTTGTTTTGAACTCGTTCCTGCATCCACGGAAATCGCACGTCTATGCGTCGAACAGCTCCGAGCCCCTGTCTGCTTGAAATACCTCTGGCTGCAGAACTGTCGCTGAAGAGCTGCAACTTCGCATCGTCGCTCGTGCCCACGCCCCCGTCGCGTAGCACCGCCTTCACTCCAAAACGGTGGCGAGATCCACGCAGGAGCAAAGAATGCTCGGCCTCTCCGCTGCTGAGGCTCACAGTGGATTTGACCGCACTGCCATGTTTCAGCAGATGCGATACCCATAGTACGGCCATTCCCGTTCTCGAACGCCTCGTAATCGGGTCCACGGCGTAGTCGCTGTCGCAGTATACGCTGATCGTGTCTGGTAGCCCCTGCGATGGAAACAGCGACCGCCCTGCATGGCACTTCTTCAAGTAGCGGCCAGTTCTCTTCAAGTCCTCCA